GCCCTATAAGTACCTTGCAAGGGTTTAGGGTTTAGGGTTTAGGGTTTAGGGTTTAGGGTTTGGGTGTTTGTGCTGCAGGCACGAGTACAGCTGTATATGCACAAAGTATCTCGTGCCATCCGCGAAGGCAAGCTAAACCCTAAACCCTAAACCCTAGCCTAAACCCTAAACCCTAAACCCTAAATTACACATATGCAGATATATAGCCTATAAAGAACTCTTATATTCTAGGGTTTATTTAGGGTTTAGGGTTTAGGGTTTAGGGTTTAGGGTTTATCTCTGCAGGGGAGAAGAGGACACAAACCCTCGATGTAGATGCTGCTAAGCGCTTTATTGGCTTCCATACAAATAATAATAAGAGGGGGGCCCCCAATAAAGAAGAGGGGGCCCCTAAGGGGGGCCCCCAGGGGGCCCCTCAGGGGGCCCCTCAGAGGCCCCAGAAGAAACGCCGTAAATTGAAGGGGGCCCAGGGGGCCCCCGAAGGGAAGAATGATGATAAAGAGTCCTCGCTGACTGAGCAGGACAGCAGCAGCAGCAGCAGCAGCAGCAGCAGCAGTAATAGCAGCAGCAGCAGCAATAATAATAATAATATTAACGACAGCAGCAATAACAGCAGCAGCAGCAAGAAGAAGAAAAAGAAAAAAGGAAAAGGCAAGAATGTAACAGAACAAGACTAGCTGCTCCTGCTGCTGCAGCAGCAGTTTGCTGCAGCAGCAACAGTTTGCTGCAGCAGCAGCTGCTGCTGCTCGTCTCCGCAATGTTGCTGTTTGTGCTGCTGCTGGCCTGTGAGCTGCTGCGCACGAGCAGCAGCAGCAGCTGCTGCTGCTGCTGCAGAAGCAGCAGAAGGTGCAGTAGCACCAGGCACAGCAGCAGCAGCAACAGCAGCAGCAACAGCAGCAGCAGGAGCGGCAGCAAAGTGCTGTTGCTGCTGCCTGCTGCTCCTAGCCATATTGGCTAACTGTTTAGGACTAGGGATGGTCATTTAATATTTAGGGTTTAGGGTTTAGGGTTTAGGGCTAGGGTTTAGGGTTTAGGGTTTAGGGTTTTAGTAGTTATATATATATAGTGTTTGTTACCCATTGCCTAGGGTTTAGTAATTCTTCGTACGTAGAGGTCATGAGGGTTTAGGGTTTAGGGTTTAGGGTTTATTGGATCCTTAAGGGTTTTGTATCTAGGGTTAAGGCTCTAGTGTTCTTCGAACATTAGGAGCTGCTGATGGGGGCTTCCTGCTGACTGATTTAGGGTTTAGGGTTTAGGGTTTAGGGTTTAGAGTTTCTAGGGTTTAGGGTTTAGGGTTTTCTGGGGTTTAGTTGTGGCGGGCATAAGCATGGCAAATATCTTTCTTTTGCTGATTAAATGCAAAAAAAGGAATAACAATGAATTATTTTAATTTATATTTATTTATATTTATTTAATTTAATTAAAATAATTAATTAAATGAGTATTTCTTTTATTGTACCATTGGTCCATGATGAAGGAAGCTGCGTATACACCCGAACACCATTGCCAACTGGCTGCTGCACGTCTGTGGGGCCCTCGTGCATCATTTTTACGTCTTTTTTCTTCATTTTTTCCAATTTTTAATATTTGTAGAATTAATAATGATTAAATTACCTTTAAAAAGACCTAAAAGGGCTGCAAAACGCCCTATGTAGCCTCCAATTAGAGGCCGCATTGGCTCCTGCCTGCTGCTGGTGCCTTTTTTTTCTTATTTTTTGGCTTTGTTTCTTCCTCCTTTACCCCTAAAAGTATACCATTTAACGTTTTTTTTTAATTTTTTTCTTTTAGTAGGGATATTTTATTGATTTTTATTGCTATTTAATTATTATTTCTCTTTAATTTATCTTTTTTGTCGCTATTATTCATCCTCCTGACTCCCTCCTATAGCCATGACTCATCATGAAGGTTTCTTACCTTCTTATAACTCCTCTTCCTTATGCAGCAGACATAAAAGGTCCATTAGTACCCTTGAGGGGACCATTGGTCATGGGGGCCCCCATAGGGGGCCCCCTAAGGGGGCCCCTTGTTGTTTTTCTGCTGTAGGGGATTGTACAGGGTCACCTGGTGCTGCAATTGCTGCATCTCCTGCTGCTCCTGCTGCTGCATCTGCTGCTGCAGCAATTAATTGCTGCTCTTTTATTAATAATAATAATAATAATAAATCTGCTGCTTATATAAGACAATTAAGTCCTTATAAACAAAAAGAAGAAATACCTTTTCTTCCTTCTTTTAGTGATACTAGTTTATTTGCTGCTGCTGCTTCTGCTGCTGCTGCTCCTGCTGCACCTGCTGCTGCTGCTCCTGCTGCAGCAGAAGAAGGAGATACGGGAGGATCGAGCAAGCAGCAGCAACATTTCCCCTCCTTCCTTACCTTAACCTCTGCCCCTGTACAGCCATGGGGGGCCCCCAAGCACCAAACAGCAGCAACAAGGGGGGCCCCAAGGGAATCAGCAGCAGCAGCAGCAGCAGCTAGGGGCCCCCCTTATGATACCCCCCAATCTTCCTTCTTCTCTAGGGCCTTTGCTGATCAGCCTGTGGTGCAGCAGAGGCAGCAGGATTGGCAACTAAACCCTCTTGGGGGGCCCCCTGGGGGGTCCCTCTTAGGGGGGCCCCCCACAGGGTCGCCGCACTCAGGACTTGCTGCTGCTGTTGAGCGGCTGCGGCAGCATACATCTATGTCTTCTTCTGTTGTTGGTGCTGGTTCTGCTGCTGCTTCTACTGCTACTGCTGCTGCTGCTGGTTCTGCTGCTGCTGCTGCTGCTGCTGAGGATGATAATTGGTCAGACGCAGGTAGCTTGTGGCTGCTGCGGGATCACCTGCGGCGGCAACGGCAGCAGCAGCAGCAGCAGCAGCAGCAAGAGCAGCAGGAGCAGCAGGAGGGTAAAACAACCATTAGTAGTAACAGGAGCAGCTGCAGCAACAGCAGCAGCTGCGTCAGCTGCATCAGCAGCAGCAGCAGCAACTTAAATACCCTTACCCGCAGCAGCAACTATAAATGCATGCGTCTAGATGCAGCAGCAGCAGCAGCAATGGGGGCCCCCCCTCCTTCGTTAAAGGTACAAGACCCTCATGGGGGCCCCTCAACCCTTACTAGGGGGCCCCCCAATAACTCCTCAATGAATACAAGACGCAGCAGCTGCAGCAGCTGCAGCAACTGCAGCAGCAACAGCAGCAACAAACAGACACAAACAAGTGAGTGGGGCCCCCCAGCCACATCGTAGTGCATGCATGCGATTCGTGTGCTGCTCCTGTTGCTGCTGCTGCTACAGTTGCTGCTGCTGCTGCTGCTGCTGCTGCTTCTGGTTAATAGGATGAGAGGGTGTCTGTACTCGTGTTTGATGTTTTGGTGTTACTGCAGTTAGCTGCCAGACCGATCTGCAGCAGCAGCAGCAGCAACAGCAGCTGCAGCAACAGCAGCTGCAGCAACAGCAGCTGCAGCAGCAGCAACAGCAGCAACAGCAGCAGCAAGAGCCAATGGAGCCTCAGAGGGTTTTAAACATTTTACCTCAAAGGGAAGGTGCCGTTGGAGAGGTGGTTCGCTGGCAGCAGCAGCAGCAGCAGCAGCAGCAGCAGCAGCAGCAGCAGCAGCAGCAGCTACATACTTTCTCCCTTTCCTGTCGTGGCAGCAGCAGATTGCTGCCGTCAATCTCTGAGGTTTTGCAGCACAAAGAAAATGAATTCCCTGAGGAGGGCAGCAGCTCGCTAATTGCTGCTGCTGCTGCTGCTGCAGCAACAGCAGTAGTACACTCCCCGCGAGAGCAGCAGCAGCGACAGCAGCTGCAGCAGCAGCAGCAGCAGCAGCCTGGGAAGAAGGAACACAGGATAATTCAATACGACACAAGACAGACGCGCAGCAGACGCAGCAGGCAGCCAGCACAGGTGCAGCAGCAACTGCAGCAGCAGCATTTGCAGCAACAGCAACAACTGCTGCAGCAGCAGCAGCAGCAGAAGCACAATGCTGCAGCACACGTGCTGCTCTGCCGCTCTGCGTCAGCGCCGCGTAGGGTAGAGGAGCCAGCTGTTGCTGCTCCTGCTCCTGCTGCTGCAAGCTACAGCTGCAACAGCAACAGCTGCAGCAACAGCAGCAGCAGCAACAGCAGCAGCAGCAATGGGGGGAGGAGAATCCATCTACGTGCTGCCTCCTTTCCTCAAGAATGTGCTGATTGGACGGCGCAGCAGCAGCTGCAGCAGCAGCTGCTGCAGCAGACGCAGCAGAAGAGGCGCATGCGATCGGAGCAGCAGCATTACCCGCAGCAGCAGCAGCAGCCGCAGCAGCCGCCGCCGCCGCAGCAGCAGCAGCACGAGATAGAATATCTTGATGCACGGGAGCGTTGCTCGGATCGCAGCAGCTGCTGCAGCAAGAGAAACAGCAACAGCAGCAGCAGCAGCAGCACTGTGGGTATGGCTTGCTGCAGCGAAAGCTGCAGCAGCAGGAAAGCAGGTGTATGCAGGACCAACAACAGCAGCAGAAGCAGCCGTAACAGCAGCAGACGCACATGCATGAACAACAGCAGCAGCAACAGCAGCAGCAGCAGCAGCAGCAGCAACCTACAGTGCTGCTGCCCCCCTACAGGGGGCCCCCTTCATCGTAGCACCACTATAAACTCCCCACAAGTCGCGTAAGCTATGGCAGCAGCAGCAGCAGCAGCAGCAACAGCAACAGCAGCGACAGCAACAGCAGCAGCAACAGCAGCAGCAGCAACAGCATGTGTAGATATGTGTTGTTTCTTGCTGCAGGAGCATAGGACACCAATCGCCTTTAGACCCCACAAGCAGCAGAAGCAGCAGACGCAGCAGCAACTGCAACAGCAGCAGCAGCAGCAGCAGCAGCAGCAGAGGCCAGAACGGGCGGTTTGCTGTGGTAGTCGTCCAAGCACCAACGGATCCCCCCAACAGAAGCAGCAGCAGCAGTAGTAAGCATCAACAGCAGCAGCAGCAGCAGCAGCAGCAGCAGCAGCAGCATCACGAACAGGGAAGTGACTGGCATTGCTGCTGCAGCAGCGATTTAGAAGCTCAAGACGGTCGCTGCTGCTGCTCTGCAGCAGCAGCGCAGCAGCAGCAGCAACAAAAACAACAACAAAAGCCTCAGCAGCAGCAGCACCAGCGCCAACAAAAGCAGCAGCAGCAGCAGCGTCAAAAGGAGCAGCAGCAGCAAGAGCTGCTGCAGCAGCGGCAGCAGGAATTGGAGTTGCTGCTGCAGTCATGCATAGGCAGCAGCAGCTGCAGCAGCAGCAACAACGAAAAGAAAATAAGACTTGCTGTTGCTCGTCTAATGGTGCAGCAGCAGCAGCCGCAGCTGTACTGCAGCAGGACAATAGGGGAGGACGCTGCTGCTAGTCTATCTTGGTTAGGCAGCAGCTGCTGCTGCTGCTGCTGGAGACGCTGCAGCAGCAAACAGCAGCAGCAATGCTGCTTCTTTTGTGTTATTTCTTTTGTATCTATACTCGTGCTGCTGCTGCTGTCATTAGCAGCAATTGCATGCATTATCTAACTGCAGCAGCAAAATATAAAAAACTATTTCTTTCTCCTTTTGTTCCTGCTGCTGCTCCTGCTGCTGCTGCTTGGTGCCGTTGCTGTTGTTATTGCTGCTGCTGCTGCTGCTGCTGCTGTTCATGCTGCTGTTGCTGCTGCTTAGGAGTCTAAGGGTTTCTCTCTCTTATCTATAAATAACAGCAGCAACAATAGCAAGACCTACACTAAACCCTAAACCCTAAACCCTAAACCCTAAACCCTAGGGGCTCCCCCTAATGCTGCTTTGTAAGACTGAATCTGCGGTGTAGGCAAAACACTAAGACACTGACACCTCATATTAGGGTTTAGGGTTTAGGGTTTAGGGTTTAGGACACACCAGCATATGTATATAAATATATATTTATATTTATAAACACTTATAAATATAAATATATGCATGCAGTCCTATTTATTTATTTTTATTAAATAAAAAAGAAGAAAATAAACTTTTTTTATTAGGGTTTCTTCTTATCGAGGGTTTTGCCTCTAGTGTATTTAATAAACCCTTGAGGGTTTATTATGAGGGTTTAGGTGTACAGACAGAGGAAATATTTTTATTATATTAATAAATATAATTTATATTTATTATTTAATAGGGTTTAATTATTTAAAATAATAATATAAATAAAAGCTAGGGTTTAGGGTTTAGGGTTTACGGCTTAGGGTTTAGGGTTTGGGGTGGTGGTGAGTCGGCAGTGCCACCTCCATCTTCTTTTAGGGTTTAGGGTTTAGGGTTTAGGGTTTGGGGTTTAGGGGACATTCTCATTAATTTATATTTAATTAAAACAATAAATTAAATAAAATAATAATAAGGAGACACTGTCAGCAGCAACAAGAGGAGCAACAGCAGCAGGAACAGCAGCAACACAACAGCAGCAGCAAGAGCAGCAGCAGCAGCAGCATGGGGCCCCCCTCATTGTCAGCAGCTGCTAGTAAGGGAAAGGCCCACAAACCCTAAACCCTAAACCCTAACAGAAACTTTTTGTGTATTTGTTTGTCAATTTGTTTGTCTGTATTACTTATAAACCCTAAACCCTAAACCCTAAACCCTAAACCCTCAACAGGAAGATGTGGGATGAAATCCTCTCTGTTATATTGGGGATGGGCGCAGCTGTTGTTTGCCTCCTAGCCACAGGTAATAATTAATATCCCCTTGCTGCTGCTGCTGCTGCTGCTGCTGCTGTCATTGCTGCTGTTGTCATTGCTGCTGCTGCTGGTTGCTGCTGTTGCTGCTGCTCTCGTTGCTGCTGCTGCTGCTGCTGCTGCTGCTGTTGCTGTTGCAGCAGTGAATACCCCCCTAGGCATGCCACACATTCATCCCCAGGCAACAGGTGCAGTAACATCAACAGCAGCAGCAGCAGCAATCAACAGCAGCAACAGCAGCCGATGTAGCAGCATACTACAGATAGCGCTAGCAGTTGCTGCTGCTGCTGCAACTGCAGCTGCAGCAGCAGCAGCAGCAATTGCTGCAGGGTATCTGCTGCGTCTTTGTTTGTTTGCGTTTCTTCAGCTGTGTTTCTTTTCCCTCAAAGGCAATGAGGCAGCAAATGTGGCACCAGGGCGCCCCACGCCCAAGCAGCAGCAGCAGCAACAGCAACAGCAGCAGCAGCAGCAGCAGCAACAGCAGCAGCAGCAGCAGCATGAGGGAGAGCAGCAACAGCAGCATTAAGTTTATGTCTTCCATTAAAGGAGAGTCTTCCTAATGGGAAAATGGCAAAAATAGATGCAGCAGCAGCAACAGCAACTGCAGCAGCAGCAGCAACAGCAACTGCAGCAGCAGCAGCAACAGCAACTGCAGCAGCAGCAGCAGCAACAACAACAGCAGCAAAAGGAGGAATAATATAACTAATAATAATAATAATAGTATAAATAAATAAAAAAAAAGAAGAAAAAAAAAGAAAAAAAAAAGAGAAGAAATGCTGTCGAGCAATAAATTATTTATTGCAATTTAATAGGCATTTCTTTTTTTTTTTTTTTTTTTTTTTTTTA